GAAGGCTATATTTTGGGCTGGGGATTTACCTCAGTGGTTTCGCCACCTGTTGTGCAAGCACAAGGACCCGAGTTTGATCTCCGGTACCAAAAGAAAAAAAGAAGTGTATATTTTAGGAAACATTCCTTCCTTCTCATGCCCTAGTGACCCAGTTCTCCAAAACCAAGGTCATCTGTCTCAGGTGTTCTTCTAGAGACAATTCAGACACATATCAGCAGATGTATTTGGTGACTTTTTTCTCAGTGTATATTAGATATTTCATATTAGGACACAAAAGATACAAGGAGCTTCTTCAATCTTGATTATAGTTGCATATTGCACTCATTGCATGAATATGTAGTGACTTAGTTCTTGTTCATAGATACTTTGCTTCCTGTCTTTGTATTTTAAACAATGCTGCAATGATTGTAACACAAATGTAACCTTATCTGGAGGATACATATGTAGAAGTAGTATAATAATTTACATTAGCATGGTGGTTTTTTTTTTTGTCAGTGTAATAGAAAGAATGATACTTCAGTATAGTTTAGTTTGGGTATCTTTTATAATGAGTGAAGTCAAGTATCTTTTCACATTTAAAGACCATTTATTTCTCTTTCCTTTGGGTTTTTTTTCTTTTTTTTGAGACAGGGTCTCACTATGTGGTTCAGGCTGGCCTTGAACTTGCTATGTAGCCCAGGCTGGCCTCAGACTCACAGGGATCCTCTTGCCTCAGCCTCCTTAGTGCTGGGATTACAGGCATGTGCTACAATGCCTAGCTCTGTTTCCTTTGTTACCAACAGAGTTTTCATCCATTGCCAATTTTAATCTTCTTTCTGTGTCAGATTAAGAACGGCATTTAAGGGCTGGGGATTTAGCTCAGTGGTTCTGCCACCTGCCTCGAAAGCGCAAGGACCCGAGTTCAATCACTGGTACCAAAAAAAAAAAAGAATGGCATTTTTTTTTTTTTTTGAGTCAGGGTCTACATGGTAGGATTATAGGAGTGAGTGCCCACCAAGCCAGTTTACAAATCCTTTAATGTAACTCCCTTGAAGAGGCAGGGTCTAGCCAGACTTGGTGGTGCAGGCCTGTCCTCTCAGCACTCTGGGAGGCTGAGACAGGAGGATCACAAGTTCAAGCCCAGCCTAGACAATTTAGCAATGTAGTAACACCCTGTCTCTCTCACACACACACACACACACACACACACACACACACACAAGGCCTGGGAGTGTAGCTCAGTGCAAGTTTCAACCCCCAGCGCTGAAAAGTGGCTTCTGTGACACAGCCCCCCAGGCCCTGCCCTCCCTTCTGACTTGTGTTCCTGGCCAACCTCACGTTCAATTCCGGTCATCACTTCTGTGTCTCGTGACTTCTTCATGCCTCCATGGTGACGTGTGAGACCACATATATTGTCCCTGCCTCTTGGGATCCTCCTTGTGACAATAAAGTCTAAACAGAGGGCGGGGCAGAACGAGGCCTGCATTTCTCCAGCCCTTGGATCTGGCCTGGGGTGCTCCGGGCCTGGCCTTTGAGATGATGATGGCTTCAGCCTTGGCTCTTTCAAGCTCTGAGCCACACACGGAAGGAAGCACTCAACCCTGCTAGGTGGACCGCATGCACAGATGCAGCCGGACCCAGGTGAAGCCAGTCTTGCACGGATACAAGCTAAGGCTTTACGTCTGAATGGCCCAGCTGAGAGCCTGCCCAAATTCCTGACCCACAGAATCGGAATATTTGGCAAAACGGTGGTTGTTTCAAGCTACTAAGTTTTTGTGATACTGTTATCCGGTAGCTCGGCAACTAAATGTTACCGAGTTCTGGATAGCTCGCCTCTCCTTCTGGAGCTGGATTTCAGTTTCTTCTCGCCTAGAACAAAGAATTGAACAAAACGAGCACAAAGCAGTGGCAAGGTTTTTTCAGGAAAGCAAAAAAATGAAGAGTGGGAGAGAAATTGGCTCTGCAGAGTGAGCTTGGACTAAGCAGAAAAAGAGCATGAGAGCAAAATAAAAGTACACAGGGCCGGGGATTTAGCTCAGTGGTGCCGCCGCCTGCCTCTCAAGTGCAAGGTCCTGAGTTCAATCCCCGGTACCAAAAAAAAAAGTACACGCCGGATCTGAGAGAAACAGCAAGGCCTATCATAGAAAGAGAAAGTTATGATAGCAAAGCCATCATGGCCTTGATGTGACCTTTTATGCTGTATAAATCTGGAGGACTTTTACATCCGGGTCCTGAGAGGTGGTGCTCAGATCCCCCACCTCAGGGTGACCTCAGGTCCAGGCCGTCCTACTGAAAACCTGCTGGAATTCTCCCGAGGCCACGCAGGGCTTTGGGAACTGTTCTGCGCATGTGTCCGGGATAATTAACAAGTCACCCCACTTCCCCAGACAGTTTTTGCCAGGCCCTAATCTCCTATCTCAATACTTCTTACATAGCTGTAGGAGCTAAAACAGTATCTTTTCAAGGGGATCACTATATGTTAGTCAAATTCGCTATTTGTCTAACATAGTGCAAACTTTCCCCCAGATATTTTGTTTTTACATATTATAGTCTCACACACACACACACACACACACACACACACACACTACCCCACCACACTGGGACATCCCCGGCCCTTTTTCTTTCTTTTGAGGCAGAGTCTTACTAAATTGCCCAAGCTGACCTCAAACTTGCAATCCTTCTAAACAGACAAACAAAACCTTGCAATCCTTCTGTCTCAGTCTCCCAAGGAGCTGGGATGACAGGAGACTGCCACCTGAAAAGGGGTCCATTTTTAGCCATGTAAATATTTTTATCGTTTTTAGATAGTTATCATTCTCTTTCTTCTACAAACCAGCTAGAAGCTGGGGCAGGGGAGGGGGGGTGTCACAGGAAGTTGTACTCAGGGCAAGTCTATGCCAACAAAAGGCATAACAGAAGGAGAAGGGTGCCAAGTAACAGAAAAATCACAGCGCTCGGCCCGCAAGAAACGCAGCAAGCAGCTCAGGGCTGAAATGAGGCCCGTGGAATTTAAAGGCCAGGCCCCGCCCTAGGTGCCTCCCTCTGAATCTCTAGGGGTGATTGAGATTGATAGGAATGATTGGCAGGGCCCTGTGTTATCGCAGAGGCTCCCAGAACGCTTGCTCATCCAGAATTCTATTCTGCTCTTAATAATGCCTGGCACGTAGTATATATTTATGACCCCATAACAAGGTGGGAATAGGGTAGACTTGGCTAAAGGTCAAGCTAGCAGATTCAATGCTCATGTGGTGTCCTAGAGCTCAGTGCAATCTTCTGAGGTTTTGTGTTTTTTTTTAACCTCTCTTAGTATAATGGCAGGTGAAATGACCCTAGAGTACTGTTTAAATGTAAACGAATAAATGTAAGTGATTTTCTCAGTTCTATTATTTCTAACTACTAGTGGCACATGCCTGTTTTCCCAGATGGGGAGGATGAGGCAGAAGGAATGGCCCAGAGTTAGGGACCAGCTTGGGGTACATAGTGAGTTCAAAGCTAGTCTGAAGTACATAGAGAGACCATCTCAAAAACAAACAAATAGCAACAACAAAAACCCCACAAATTCCCATGCAGAACATAAAATTGAGGAAAAGACAACTTTTAAAACAACAATAGAGATAAAATCTAGGCTTAAATTTTTTTCTTCTGGTTTTTTGTTTCGGTTTTTTTTGGTACCGGGGATCGAACTCGGGACCTTATGCTTGAGAAGCAGGCGGCGGAATCACTGAGCTAAATCCCCAGCCCATCTTTTGGTTTTTTGAGACAAGGTCTTACTATGTAGTTCAGACCAGCCTTGAACTCACTATGTAACCAGGCTGGCCTCGAACTCGCAGCAATCTTCCTGCTTCAGCTTTCCAAGTGCTGGGATTACAGGAGTGCACCACCACATCTGGCAGCTTTTTTTGTATTTTAAAAATCACTTTTATCTCAATATTTTAAAAAAAATTGGGGGGGGGTACCGGGTATCGAACTCAGGACCTTGCACTTTCGAGGCAGGAGGTGGTATTACTGAGCTAAATCCCTGGTCCTCATCTCAATTCTTTTTTTCTTTTTAATTCTATTTATTTATTTATTTTGGGGGGATCGGGGATTGAACTCAGGTCCTTGCGCTTTCAAGGCAGGCGGCGAAACCACTGAGCTAAATCCCTGGGCACCCTCATCTCAATTCTTTTATGAGATTGGCATTATAGTGTTTTTGTTAAAAAGAACTTAGTTAAGCAAATTTTTATTCTGCTCGCCCTCAGGGGGTCGCCCCCTCAGGCAAGTCCCTTCAATTCTGAGTGTCACTTTCCTTATTACAAAGTGAGTTTTCCAATTAAATGAAATTTCAGCCAAGCCACACCAGGTGGGCTCACCACTAATTCACATCTGCTCATCCATTCCAGTTCCTCAATGTTTTAACAGTAAGGAGGCCTTAGCCATGCGCGCGCGCGCGGACACACACACACACACACACACACACACTCCTGACGTAACAAAGGTTTGACTTAAAGCTGGTGCAAAAGCAACATGCATACAGTAGAACCCAAGCTTGCATTTTGAAAGTTGAGCTTTTCCTAGGTTAGCCACGTGCTCCAGATACTTTGTGGCGATTATTTCATTTAATCTTCAATCCCATGAGGACTTTTTTTTTTTTTTTAATTTACTATTTGGTGGTACTAGGGATTGAACCTAGGGCCTTCGCACTGAGTTGCATCCCCAACCCTTTTTATTTTTTATTTTGAGGGCGAGTCTCGCTAAGTCAGAAACTGCCCAATTTGCACTTGAACTTGTGATCCTCCTGTCTCGGTCTCCCAGACCGCAAGAAAAAAAAAGAAAAAGCTCTCGGAGAAGCGAGAGGTCTTCTGCTGCCGGCTTCATCACAAAACTCAAGCTCCTCGGCACCTCCTCTTTCTGCCTCCAGGTAGCGCCATAAGACAGGCCCATGTGCCAAAGTATAGTTGCCTCAAATTGGCCTCCCCGGGAGACTATCGAGCATAGAGACTAGGCTACGGAGCCTGTTTCGCTTTTGTGGGTAGAGAGGCACTTCTCAGGAGCCGCCCACGTCGCCTCTTGCCCGCCATACATTTCCGCTTCCGGTTCTTAATTCCGGAAGTTGCCGTTTGAGGTAGCGTGGTACTTGGTGTGGTCTTTGTGAGATTTTTGCCATGGCGTACCGGGGCCAGGGCCAGAAAGTGCAGAAGGTGATGGTGCAGCCCATCGTATCCTGCGCGACATGTCAGAACCGGAGATTTGGGGCCGGGAGGCTGGGGGCGACAATGCAGACCTGAAGGAGCGGAGTGTGGGCCTACGTCCCATGAGCCTCCGGGGCCGCCGCACCGGGGAGAAAGCGCGGGCAGTGGAAGGGTCTGTAATGGGAGGTGGGCTCGGGCGGACCCTGAGGGGGAGTGCAGGAGCGGCGGGGGGAGTGGAGGGAAGACAACTCGAAGTGGCTGCTGAGTGAGAATGGGAGTTAAAGAGGAGTACGTCGGCAACAAGGAGGTTCTAGGTCTAGGAGAGTTAGCATGCGGGAAGGGGAGCCCTTCGCAGTGTATGGGTTCCCCATTGAGTGCGGTTCTCAGCCTTCCTTATGTAGGCGCCCGACTTGGCCTTCAGAAAACAAAGATGAATGAGATGGGGTTGGGTCGACCCGCGGTTTTCAGGGAGGGGAGTCTGCTGTGTACTTTTTCCCTTAACCCCTGTGGCGAAGAATCTCATCTTCAGATACTTGCAAAATGTACGTAAGTCGTTTGTTAATTGCTTCGTAATCACTGCTTAAGCAAAAGTTGAATGTATTTGGCTATTTGTATCAACTTTACTGATCATAGTGTCCTCGAGTATAAAAATAGATGAAACCCCGGAGATTGGCAGGATAATTGAGGGAAAAGATTACAAGGAGAGGTCTTTTGTATTGAAGTGATGTATGTCTATGCCAACACCAAGCATGCAGATTGTGTCATCATTACTTTGAAAGATTAGAAACACTCCACAGTGTTTATTGGCAGATACAACAATGGCATTTGGATTCCATCGCCCCTGCCCTCCCGCACTGGGAATCAAACTCAGGGCCTTGAGCTTGCCAGGCAAGCGTGTCGCTGCTGAGCTACATCCCTGGCCCACAACAGTGGCATTTGGGCACTGGTACTTTTGATTGATTTGGTGGTGCTGGGATCGAATCCAGGAGCTCATTCATGAAAGGCCAGCTCTACCATTGAGTTCCATCCCCAGCCCTGGTATTGGTACTTTTGTTGGTAGTGATTATAGCTAGGCCATTGGAAACTTTCCTGCTTCTATACTCTTGAAAGGAAAAAAACCCCGTCACCTTAAACCAGGTCATAATGTGCTGTTGAGTATTTGTCGGAAGATTTAAATGAAGGAAAGACACTTGAACAGCTACTAAACAAGGCAGGGGAAAGGAGTAGATTTAGAGGAGTTAGTGGCAGGTACTGTTCTTAGGGAGATTTTTAGCAATCTAAATTTTAGAGTATAACAACATAATTGAAAAATTTATTTTAAGCTATTGTAATTTTTTCTTTTTTGGGGGGGACAGGGTCTTGGTATATAGTTCAGGGTGGCTTTGAACTCATCGTGTAGCCTAGGTTGACCTCGAACTTACCAGCAGTCCTCCTGCCTCAGCCTCCCAAGTGCTAGGATTACAGGGGTGCATCACCATGCCCTTCAAGCCATTGTAATTTTAATCCTCAGAATTGAAGATTCCCTGCCCTCATTGTTAGGTGTGGGACATAGAAAACAGAACCTAGAAATTGTTCTCTTTTGGACCTGTATTTTGCTGTGGCAGATAAGAAAGAAGGAATTACTGTTTATGCTATACTGTCACCAATTTTTACTCTTAAGTGTATTGAGACTGGAAGCAGTAAGAAATTAAAGCTGAATGGACCGGGGATTTAGCTCAGTGGTTCTGCCACCTGTTTTGCAAGTGCAAGGTCCCAAGTTCAATCCCTGATACCAAAAAAAAAAAAAGAAAGCTGAAGCATGGTTACACATGCCTGTAATCCCAGTACTCTGGGAGGCTGAGGCAGGAGGATTGAACCCAGCCTATGCAATTTAGCCAGAGCCTGCCTCAAAATATAAAAAGAGACAGAAAGGGAGAGAAATACAATTACTTCTCAAGGTCACAGGAAAATTAATAGCTTGGACAGCCTCAGTATAGCATTTATTAAAAGAAAATGTTTCTTAGCAGTTACCAGTCTTGGTTACCAAGTCTTAGATGTAGGATCTATAGTTAAAATTCTTAGCTTATAGTCATTAGAATGTTTAACATTTCATTTCTCTATTGTTTGATCAAAGTGATTAGGGCTTCTTTACTTTTTTAACCATTATCTATTTTTATGATTGTTTCAGAGATCCAGGATTCAGGTGTGGCTCTATGAGCAAGTGAATATGCGGATAGAGGGCTGTATTATTGTGAGTATCCAGGCTGTTTTTCACAGAGTGGTTTGTTAATAGACAGACTTTACAGAAAATGGCCACCTAGAGCAGTATACAAAAAGTTAAAGACCCCCCCAAGGAAAACTTCTCAGGACATAGTATTTAGTCTTTTTTCCTATTCTAGGTGTTAAGGGTTGGATAATGCAAAAAAGAGGAAAGTTAAACTTATAAAAATAATTTAAACAATGATTCTAGTATTGGAGGGAGGGGACAAAGGAGAGAGGGGTGAGGATTAACGCAGTACCAATTCTGTGTTAGTGATACCTGAATAGAATTGGTGGGGTTAGTTAAGATTTCCAGGACAGGGCCAGGGATTTAGCTTAGTGGTTCTGCTGCCTGCCTCGAAAGAGCAAGGTCCAGAGTTCGATCCCCGGTACCAAAAAAAAGATTTCCAGGATGGCAAGATGTCCTAAGCAGTGGTTTGGTTTGTTTTTGGTGGTGATGGGTATCAAATCCAGGGCCTCACGCATGCTAAGCATATGCCCTACAATTGAGCTACATTCCCAACCCCAGTAATGTTTTAAAGAAAAAATACATGGGAAGTGTTGTGTTGGGACACTTTGGTATTCTGTGTAGAGATCAGTGATTCTATTAATCTCCCTTTCCTTAATTACTGGTTGGCAGACAGACATAGTAGTTTGTGGAGAACATGGGGAGAGCAGTGGCAATAGAAGATAATTCATATACATACATAAAATACTGTTTATTGGGTATGTTATAAAAGATAGAGAGGATGGCTTGCTGGCATATCTAATGAATACTTAGTCCAAAAGGTTGAAGTAATTTGGACTACATTCTGACTTTCTTGGTTATTTTTTTTTATTTAAAAAAGCTTCAGGTATTTCAGCTGGAAGGTCATCAGAGGGATGGGTACATAGTCTTTTAGAATGGTCTAGATGGGATTTTACTTGAAAGTAACTGTCAGTTGACTTACTTTTCTAGGGCTTTGATGAGTACATGAATCTTGTATTAGATGATGCAGAAGAAATTCATTCTAAAACAAAGTCAAGAAAACAACTGGGTAAGAAATACAGTTATTTTACAGAATTCTAGAAGTGTTTGTTTTACTCACAGTATGAAATGAATTGCAACTCAATTTATGTTTGAATTTAGTTTGCGTTTGAGAAGTTATTTTTGGAGGAAGCAATACACTTTTTAAGTTATTCTCTGCCACTTACTCCTTACCCCACTCTATTTCTGCTTCTGTCTCTTCAGTTTTCACCAAGGTCATCAAAGATTAATGGTGTTAAATATAATGGTCAGTGTTAGTGTTCATTTTATTTAACTCTAAACAGAATTTGACATTGTTGGCCACTCCTTTAAAACACTTTTATTTCCTTGGCTCTGTGGCATATAGTACTGTGCTGCCTCGGTTCTACGATTCTAGTTGCAAACTGAAATGTACGAGGACCAAATCAAATTCTATGGTTAGGTTTAATGTTGACCTTATGAGGAAATTTGGTTCGGTTCTCATCCAATTCACTTTGCAACCAGAATTGTGGAAAGAATTGTTAGTGAACCAAGGTACCACTGTACTCAGGTTTTCATTTCTCATCTCTCCTATTCTCTTTCAGACTTCTGTATATTCGTTTTTTGAGGCCCAGTCATTAAATGTTATACGTCTATTTTTTTTTTTTTTGGTACTGGGGATCGAACTTGGGTCCTTGTGCTTGCACACCAGGCGGCGAAACCACTGAGCTAAATCCCTGGCCCTTAATGAATTTCTTTTTTGCTTTTCTTTTTCGTGTGTGTGTGTGTGTGTGTGTGTGTCTGTGCACATGTATAATACTGGGGTAAACCCAGGGCCTTCACTGAGCTACTTTCCCTAGCTCTTTTTTTTTTTTTGGTACCAGGGATTTAAATGTTAGAGTTGCTTGAGGCTTGGTTCTGTGCATGCTTGTCACTCAGGATTTTCTTAGGTACTCAAGAGAACAGCTTTGGTTACCATCTATATTTTGACACCCAAATTTATGGTTTTAGCTCAGACTCCTGAGCCTATTCTTCAGCACCCCTGCATGAGGGTCTTAAAGGCTCCCCAAAGTCAGCATATCAGAAATCAAACTCGAGTTAACCATGCACACACTGTTTGCAGCTATCTGGTGTTCTCTGCAATTGAGTGGCTCCAGTTTGCTTTCAGCTAATGCTAATTAATTGACGTTTCTGCAACTACCTCAGCCCCCTCTAGGTTGTTCTCCAAAGTTTAATCATCTTAAAATGCCTATCTGACCTAGTCATCCCTTTCTTGAAATGCTTTGTTGACTTTTTTGTTGCTCTTATGATAAAACTCTTTCATGCATTCTACAAAGTCCTTTGCAATCTGGCCTTATTCCCCCCCACTCATTTTGTATCACACTCTGACTCATTTTCTGAGCTTTAGCCACTCTTGTCCTGTTTTAGTTCTTTGAATCTGCAGTTTTCACTCCATCAGTTCATGTATATACTGCTCCCTGTGTCTTTAGAACTCAGATCACAGCTGGCTGTGGTGCCACATACCTGTAATCTTAGCTACTTGGTTGGTGAGGAAACCATGCCTGGGAGGGGTGAATAATTTGTCCATTTCCTATCATAGCTAGATGATCTCTGATTGCAGAGTCTGTTCTCTTTTTTTTTTGATAAGATACAGCTTCAATTTCATTTAATTGTGTAAATGGACTGTTTTATAAGCAGAATTATTTCTTTTAGCCCATTATTTTGGATTTAATCCTGTGTGAAATAAAGTGCACTTGAAGCTGATAAAAAAAACCAAATCCTAGCTACTTGGAAGACAGGAAGAAGAAATGTGAGTTTGAGGCCAGGGCTTATTTTGGTATTGCTTAGGGTGGGAGAAAACGGCATAATATGATCTAAGACTTGGTTGTGAAACATCCACAAGTGTAATTATTTTATTAATGCCTTTCCCAATAGACCAGATATTCCATGAGTCCATTAGTCATGTTTTTTTTTTTTCAGTTGGGATTGAATGAACCCAGGGCTTTCACAATGAGCTGTATCCCCAGCCATTTTTGTTTTTTATTTTGAGACAGGTTCTCACTAAGTCACTAAACTGCCCAGGCTGGACTGGGATTTTCAGTCCTTCCTCAGCCTCCCAGAATGCTGGGATTATAGGTGTACACCACCACACCAAGCGTGAATCATGTCTCTTTTTGATCCCTAATCTTAGTAATTAACTTGGTATCTGGTATGTAGTAGAAATTCAACATTTGAAACACACACACACACACACACACACACGCATACACACATGCATCTTGGGGATTGAACCCAGGGGCCCATGCATGCTAGGTGGGTGCTGTATTCTCCAGCCCTTTCTTTTTAATTTTGAGATCAGGTCTTTCTGAGTTGCCCAGATTGGCCTCAAACTTTTGATACTCCTGCCTCTACCTCCCAAGTAGCAGGAATTGCATGTATTGCTACCCCTGGCTGAAAATTTAACCTAGTTAACAAGACGGCTGTAAAACTCATGATTTCATCAAGAGACATTGAATCATTTCTCCTAAGATCCCATTAACTTGATTTTTGTTTAGACAGTTTGTTTTGTCTTTATTTGTTAAAGACTTAGTACATAGCTTACTAGTACTTTTATCAAAGTTAGGTTTTAGGTGACTTCTTTTTCATAGACCCTGAGGAGTTTCTTGAACCTATTATGTGGAAAATAGATTTTGAGAAGTGATATAATGTATTCCTGCTTAAGCTAAAGTATTTGACAGCTGATGAATCCCAGAGTATTCATCTTGTATAACAGACTAATAATACCTATAGAAGTCTGGGAAATGAAAATAGTTTATTTTCACAGTAGATTAGCAACTCTTTATCAGTCAACACTAGTGTTTGGAAGATAGTTATAGATATTTGTCACAAAGAAAAGTATTCTCAAATAAGTTTAGGAAATGTTGGATAAATCTTAAACAGGTTTGTTTACTGCAAGATGGAGTCTTTAGGGCCAGGCATTTAGCTCAGTGTCACTGTCCCTGCCTCACAAGCATAAGGTCCTCAGTTCGATGCCTGGTACGGGCAGTTGAGGGGGATGGAGTCTTTTAATACATTGACCATGCTAAGAATAGGTTTATAACATGCAGCATTTTCCAAACTTGACATATAACTCATTTCCAGATTTTCATGGTCAGCTTTAAAAAACGCTGTGATAGGCATAATCATTTGACTTAATCTATAGAAACTACTTTTCAAACAGTAGCACCTACTTGCATTAGGTTATTGAAAAGGTGCATATGTACTAATGGAGCTGGAAAACCTTTCAGTATATGGCACTTGAAAATGTTCACGTAACTTCACAAAAGAAAGCATTTTGAAAATATTGGTGAGTTGAGAACAAAATTCTGAGGTGTATACATCTGAGTGTGAGTATTGATACCTTTTTTTGTTGTTGTAGGTCGGATCATGCTAAAAGGAGATAATATTACTCTGTTACAAAGTGTCTCCAACTAAAAATGATTGAAGAATTAAGACAGCAGTGAAGTGAGGTGGCAATTATGATAACGTGAAAAAATGCAGCTGTTTAAGTGGTTTGCCCTGGGAGTATTTGTGAAACATTTTTTCATATTGTTTTGATTACCCTTATGTTATTACTGCACTGGCAATAAATGTTGGATTGTTTTTATTAAAAAATGACTTTCTTTCTGTTCAGTGGTAAACACCTGTTAGTGGCACTATTAGTATCAGTATTTTAAAGTTGAATGCTTTGGGCTTTTGCTTTTCTTGGAGGATGGACTTACATATCCTTGAGGCAGAGAGTAGGAAGCTATTTTTTTTGTTGGTACTGGGGATCGAACTCGGGGCCTTGTGCTTGCGACGCAGGCGGTGGAACCACTGAGCTAAATCCCCGGCCCCAAGAGTAGGAACTTTTGACAGGTAAGCTACCAATGTTGGGTGGCAGAAAAAGGGGGAGGCTTCACAAAAATAAGGCTATTATACTAATATATGTCTTCATTAATTCTAACTCTTGAAACTGGGTTTATAACTTAGTGGTACAGCATTTGTCTAACATGCATGAGGCCCTAGCTAGGTTCAGTCCCAGCATAGAAAAAAAATTAATTCTGAATGCTGGAATACCATGAGTTTCTAACTAAAATAGATTGAGAACACTTTAATAGCTCCATTATTTGCTTGGCACTCTTACTGAGACACTATGAGATCTTTGATTGTTTTATTACTAAGCTCAGAGTGATGAGTATTTGGGTATAGACAATAAAGTGCCTTTAAAGTGTATTAAAGGTAAGCTTTAAGGGCGGGGATTTAGCTCAGTGGTTCCGCCGCCTGCCTCGCAAGTGCAAGGTCCTGAGTTTGATCCCTGGTACCGAAAAAAGGTAAGCTTTATTAAGACATAATAGGAAGGAAAATTTGTGAGATTAGAATGGTAATCTGAAAAAGACCACAGGCAGAGTTGGGAAATTGTTAGAATGCTAGCATATTGGAGAAACATCTGTTTCTTATTCTGTTTATCTATTTTCCCCAATGCTGAGGATCAAACTCGGCCTCACTCACGCTAGACAAGTGCTCTACCACTGAACTACACACACAGCCCAAATAGTTTGTGTGTGTTTGTCTTGTGTGTGTGTTTGCTGGTGATTAAACTCAGGGAGTGCCGAGCTACATCCTTATCCTTTAAAAAAAATGTTTATTTTTTTATTTGAAGGAAGGTCTCACTAACTTGACAAGTCTGGGGTTGAACTTGGGATCCTTCTGTCTCAGCCTCCTGAGTAGCTGAAATTACTTGTGTTTACTGCCAGTGCTGCTCAGTCTCATATCTAAGGATTTGGATTCCTCCTCTCGTGATTGTATATTACCTGATTCTTAGGCAAACATCCCCTCCCCCAGTAGCTCAGGGTGGAAGAACTCTTAAGTGGTTTTTGAGCATCTGCTGTTACCTAGGCACAAAATTGTGTAAAATACAGTGAAACATGGGTAATCAGATTTAATGTCATGTCCTAAGTGCTATTTGAATTGGATCTTAAAAGATGAATATGGCCTATTCTTTTTTTAAATTTAATTTTTAATTGTTTTTGTGGTGTTAGGATGGAATCCAGGACTTTGCATCTTATTAGACAAGTGTTCTACTACTGAACTACAACTTAGCCTCAAGTCCTGTCTTAAATTCTGCTAAAGGCAGTGTTAGGGATGGGTGAGGGGGGACCAAGAAGTCTAGCTCCTCCTTTTTCCATGCCTACAGGGGAGATACAGATTTTTCATTAAACTCAATGAAGAAAATCCTTTCTGTGATGGAGGAGATTTGTAGATGAATGTAGAAGTGAATTCAGCTTAGAATTTTGCATTCTGGCTATGGTTTCCACTTTTGAGTTCATGCTGTTTGGTTATATTATGAATACAAGGCTGCTTTAGCTCTTTTATCATTTTTGAGTTTGAAATTCATTAAACCAACTACAGGATGCAAAGAAAACACTGGGCAGTAGAGGGAGTTGCCGCCCTGAGAATGCTTCAGCCCTGCTGGTGAAAAGATTGAAGCTTTCTCAGAGCAGGGCAAAGACTTCCCTGCAGCTTTCTTGGCACCAGAATAGATGGGAAGAAGGATAAAAGCTGGAGCAGTATAATCCCTAAGAAAACCTGCTGGCTGCTTTTCCATTTTCCTGGTGGCCTTTCTGACCTGGCTGCTCGGTGTAAGCAGAGCTATGCCTGCTGTGGCTTATTCTGAATGGATCAAGACATGGAAGGTTCTATTTTTGACAGAGCAGATGATAGTGAGAAATAAGAAACAGTCAGCTCTTACAATTGAGCTCTGTATTTAGAAATCTCTGCTTGCTTTCCTGTTCTACTGGAGCCTGTGGTGTTTGCTTTTTAAATTGTACTTTTCCACAATCTGTAGATCCTTTCTTCCAACCAGAATTTTTATTGTAGGGGGCGTTGCTCTCTGCTTCATTAAGGTTACTAAAACATGCTACTGGGAAGCTGTTCTTATTGGCAGCCCTTAGTATGTGAACAATTACTTTTCTAGAATGGCTCCTGGTATCCCAGGGGGTCTTGCTAACCACCCACTGATTCTCTTGTAACATTCTTGAAGAGAATGGTGGGCGGAGTAGAGAATGAGGATCTGAAAGAAAAGTAAGTCCTGTAATGGGCCTGATGTTCTAATAGTAGCAAGTTAGGAGAAGGAAAAGTTTTAAAATGTTAGAAATTTGTGCTTTTGGGCACCAGCTTGCCACACTTTTCAGCAGTTCTAGGATTAGCGGGAGGATCTCTTGTCTAATTTGGGTTAAGGTATTATGGGCCATGAAGTGTCAGGGGCAGTTCATGAAGCAAGCCTAAGAGCCTCTCTTGTTACCTGGCTGGCACAGGAACATTCCTCAACTAATATTTCATCTGCAGCCATAACTAGCTATGTTTTGAATAAATGCTTGGTAAAACTTTTTAAGGCAGCATGACAACCTAAGTTTTAGTACCTACAGTTTTAATTTTAACCTACAAATTACAGTGGAATTTTAAAAAATTAAATTTCAAAATACTAGCCTAGTATATGTTAATGACCAAAATGTAGACAGTATAGGACATAAAGTAGAAAACAAAGTCCCTCCTTTTCCACTCATGATTTCCATAGACAACAGTTCTTGAGAGTTAGATGCTTATGCTTCTAAACTACATAAAATAGGTATAGCTTGGTTTTGTTTCTCTTGGTACTGTATTTCTTTTTAAAGAATTATTTTTAGTTTTAATTGTAAAATACCCATAGTATAGTATTTACAATTAGCCATTTTTTTGTTTGTTTGTTTGTTTTGGTACCGAGGATCAAACTCAGGTCCTTGTGGTTGCAAGGCACAGGGTGGAAACACAGAGCAAAATCTCTGACCACAATTAGCCATTTTTAAGTGTGCAGTTCTTTTTCCTCTTACAGGACTGAAGTTCCATACTTTTAAAAAACTCTACACTTCATTCCACTTTTTGTCTCACTGATTTTACTACTCTTTTTTTTTTTTTTCTTTTTTTTGACTGTGGGGTTAATTGAACCCAGGGCCTCGTGCATGCTGGGCAAGTGCCCTCTACCACTGAGCTGTACCAACCTCCTTTACAGGGATTTGAATCCAAGACCTTCCCACTGAGCTACATCCCCAGCCTTTTATTTTTTATTTTGAGACAGGGTCTTGCTAAATTAAATTGCCCAGGTTGGCCTCAAATTTGCTGACTCACTTAGCCTGTCAGAATCCTGAGATTACAGGCATTCACTACCATGCCCAGCTTCCTTTCTTTTTAAGGCAGCACAGTATTCCTCTGGATTGCTTCTGCCTTTTGGCTTTGGGGAGTAAAGCTGCTCTGAACGTGTGTATAAATGCTTCTGTGATCCTTTTGATTTTTTTGACTATCTGCTGAAAAGTAGGATTATTGAATCATTTTCAGTTTTTGTGGAACCATCATACTAGTTTTTAGAGCAACTACATCATTCGCATTTTCACCAGTAGTGCATTAAATGTTCCAATTTTTCCACATCCTTGTAAATACTTTTCTGGATATCTGATAGCATCCTCCTAAGGGGTATTAGGTGGTTTTGATTTCAGTGCATTTCCTTTGTCATTAGTGAGGTTGACCATCTTTTCATGTGCTTCTTGGTTATTTGTGTATTGTTGAAGTGTCTATTCAAACACTTTGCCCATTTTTAAACAAGTTTTTCTTGGTGAATGTAGTTCTTTATATATTCTGGATATTAACCCCCTATTAGATGTATGATTTGCAGATATTTTTTACATTTTGTAGGTGGCTTTTGCACTTTATTTGATGTGTAGAAGTTTTAAATTTTGATACCCATTTTATCTATTTTTATTTTTGTTGCCTAGTTTTGATGAAATGGGTTCTTTATCTTCTTTGTTTCTCAAATTAGTAATTTAAAGTTGTACATGTTTACATAGTACAAAGTAATGTTATAAATTATGAATATAATATGAATTAAGTCAAGGCCATTAACATATTTCTGATCTCAGTTATTTTTATGGTGAAAATACTTGAAATGTACTCCTTTTTTTTTTGGTACTGGGGATCGAACCCTGGTCCTTGTGCTTGCACAGCAGGCGGTGAAACCACTGAGCTAAATCCCCGGCCAGTTTATTGCTTTTTAAACTTGAGGCTGGGCTACTTAGGCCTCACTAGGCACACTTAAATCATATGAAACTTAATTTTATTTGCAGTATTGGAGATCATACCCAGAGCCTTGCACATGCTAGGCAAGCACATCACCAATGAGCTGTATCCTCAGCCTGTGGAATTTATTCTTACTGAATTTGAAATGTACAGTACACTCTTATTAACTGTATTCATAATGCTACATTATAGATCTAAAAATACCCCATGTTTCCTGAGATTATGTAGCCTTTGGCCATCATCTCTCCGTTCTTCCCACCCCCAGCCACTAACCATCACCCTGCCATGTGCCCAAGTTTGATTGTGCAAGGTGAAATATGTATAATATTTGTTTTTCTGTGCCTGATTTATATCGCTTAGTATAGTGTTTTCCAATTCTGTTTTTGTTGAAAACAATGCATGTTTTCTTTTGAAAGACTAAAATAAGATCCTATTGCATATATATATACCATATTTTCTTTATCTATTACCATAACATGGCTGTTGAGAGTAGCGCTACAGTGAAAATGAAAATGCAGACATTTCTTCTG